GCTGACTCTCACCAGTGGCTATGGATGAAGTCACAGGCGATTTTCAGCCAGCGCCTGTTGAATAAGTAAATATCTTTTGAGGAAGAACTAACAAGTTATTAGTTAACTCTTATAGAACCATCAATATATGGAAGGGCTCTGATGGCTTACTGGTAAGAAGTTGCACTGCCAACCCAAAGGTAGGTGGTTCGAATCTATCAGCCGCTTTTCAAGAGAAAGATGAGCATTCTCCTCTCATTTAATTTATAGTCTCTGAAAACCTACTGTAGGGTCAACAATGAGTTGGTTCAGACTCAACAACACGTAACAACCACAGTACAATATACAAAGGCACAGGTATGGAGATGGGACATGTTTTGAATGGTCTTGTGATTTTGTTTCTCCACAGATGTGGTCACTCACGCATCTACCGGTCCCGTGAGATGGCAGCTCGTGCCCTGGTCCCGTTTGTTATGATAGACCAAATCCCAAATACCATCCGAATGCTGTTGACCAAACTTCCAGACTTCGCTGACCAGTATTTCCGGCAAAACCATATTCATGGTACACTCCTCCAGGTAAGTATTGCCATCAAACCGTGAACTTCAGTGTCTACTGTCCAGAGTTGAAGATTTGATGCAAACTGTATCTATAGAGGCATTTCCTGAGTGTGTTTTATTCATCACAACTTGAGTACAGTAGAATACTGGGATTCTGCAGATCATCTTTTTCATGAAATCTTAGGTTTTCCATAGTATATTCTCCCCTTTGAACCTATTGACTTTTTGGGACTCAGTAATGTTTTATATTTTCCATCCAGTATTCTTGAAGATTCTTTTAGGTCATTCCATGTTCCAGGTAAGTGTGAGCATTCCATGGAAGAGAGCTTAACCCAGATAGCCTCTTAACATGTCAGGAACAGCTTGTTCAGGAGCACAAAAACAAATAGTACATCAGATGAAAATATCAAGCCTAAACCCAGCTATTCTTCTGTGTTTTGCAAAATATAACTTTTTCTTTAAATTTAATTTATTTAGTTATTGAAAATATACACTACAAAACATAGACCAATTCAGCAGTTTCAGCATGTACAGTGTAGTGACACTGACTGCAGTCTTTATATTATATTTTGAGTTACTGTTGTCAACTTGATCCAGATTAGATAATGCAGAATATACTTCTACATTTTGAATAAAAAGTACATTTGTTTTTTATATTTATTTAACATTTCTTCCAAAAAAGAGTAAGCTACAACAAGTGAGTAAGATGTTGATGCACCATTGAAATTACTCTTTTTAATACTGTCTAAAAAGGAGAAATGGGACATAAAGGCACAGGGCTAGGAACATCTCTCCAAAACGGCCAGAGGGAGTGGGAATAATACAGCCCTTTAACTCCCTGGAGCAGAAAACAGATAGAGCCTGTAGCCCATCCCCATGGTGCCTGTAGAACCCCACCAACAGCAAGAGGTTCTTTTACTTATTTCTGACTCACAGATTCACAGTTTTGATACTAACAATGGGATTTATTAGAGAAGGAAATTGAAGAGTGGGGGAGGCAAAGAATATCTCATAATACAAGACCAGGTTCCAAGGTCCAGGTCTTCAATTAGACCAGGCCCTGAATTCAGTTTAGCAGTCAAATCCAAATCATCCAGCAAGCTTTGCTTCAGAGTGGTTATAAGTCAGCTTCTCCTTCAAATATCCAGCAAGAACAACCAAACTTTTAACTGCAGCCAGCTCAGATGCAAGAAACCTCAGGTCACATCTTGCCATTTTCTCCACAGCAGTGCCAGTCTTTCCACCACCAGGGTCTGGCCCTCACTAGAGTCTTGCCACTACAAGCCTTGCTTGCCTCAAGTCTTCCTGCCCATTTTTGGAAGCACTCTTTTACCTTAGTCCCACAGCTGATGCTGAATTGCAAGGGCATTCTGATTTTTAAGACTATGTCTGCAGTTAAAGTATCTGGAGACCAGAGGTGGCTAACTAGTGGCTACAAAAAGCCAACTTTCAGGCTAACACCACAAATCCTTACTAAACTTGGGGACAGATGGTCCTGGTGAAATATGCTATTAATATGACAACTGTGGTCACCCACAGTGGGACAAGGACAAAGGTATAATGAAATTGTCAGAGTTTTGTCCATGATTTATGAGTAGAGTGAAGAGATAGCCTTGACTTTTAAATCTGTGTTGTAAGCCTCAAGTCTATGCCTCTGACATAGGAGACATTTGTAAATTAGTTATTAGTGCAGGATTCTGGAGACTAATAGCATGCTATACACCAGGACACAAGCAGGGGCTCCAGGTTGTTAGAAAAGGCAGAACATGCTTCCCAAAGAAAGTGACATATAAGCAGAGAGCAGAAAGTAGCTAAGTGTATCCAGGGAAAGAGGCTCATTCGTGGAGAAAACAACATATAGGAAGACCCAGAGAGGGCTGTCACCAAGAGGTTGTCACTTGTCTGTCTGATCTCAAGAAATCTTTAAACCTTAAAATTTATTGAAGATCCCAAAAAGCTTATGTTTGCATGAGTTACTATGTAACAAGTTTTAATTGAATTTAAACAGAAAAAGTTTTAGAGCAGTGGAATTCAGAAACACATTCTGAGTTAGCAGTTATAACATACTTTGTATTTGGAAATCACTCCTGTGCACTTAGGACAGTACTAGAGTGAATGAAGATGCCAAAGTGTTCTGATCATTTTGAAAATAGTGTGATGGTCTGGACTTCCTGAAGGGATTGCATAGTCTCTCTAGGGTGTAGGCTGTACTTTCAGATCCTCTGATCTGTGTATTATATGTAATAGATCACTGGTTGTTTTTGCACTAGACATTTTTGTATGGAACTTAAAACTCTCATCTTCTTGAATCTTCACTATATCCTTGTAATGAAGAGAGGTGTACAGGTCATTTTGGTTTAAAGACCGAAAGAACAGTGTTTACTCAGTCAAATGAATTACTTCTCTTGATTCTGTCAGGCTCCAGTCCTTCTCTTAAGGGATACATCTGGCACAGATGAGTAATACAGAGCAGGTTTTCAACATGTGACCCACAGTTTCTGCACTATTTTAGAAGGAAAGGTTTGGTTGTCCCAAGGACATCATCCATCAGATTCTCTTGACCATCCTGTGTGGGCTGAGCTTTGTCAGAGGGCGTACAGGTAGGGTTGCTTCTGGTTCTTCCACTGGCTGTATATATGGACCTGCCAGCCTGGTCGCCTACACACATCACTGAAGGTGTGGCTTTTTTTTCACCACTCTGTCCAACAGCAGTGCATCATCTTTTAATCTATCTCTGGACTACTTTTGATATTCACAAATTCGCTAATGCTAGACACAATATAAAATGTGAAAGCACTCTAAAAAAGTAGACGTCTTATGACTGAATTAGTTGTGACAGTTCGTTCCCCTTATACTTCAGTGTTGATGAGATGAAGAGCTTTTTGAAAAAAGAACTGCAATGTCTGATATTGTGTTTGTGATCTATCAAGCAAGTTACTGCCTTTACCTCAGTTAAAAAAAAAAAAAAGGAAGTCAAGAGCTTGTGAAAAGTCTTTTTGTCTGTTTACTTGGTTTACTTTTGTCTGACCATGTTATTATTTGTAGGGAAAGCATAGGGGTTAAGGTGGGGAGGGCTTCCTTTGACAGTTTATAGATTTCTCCTCCACATAAAGTAACCTTTGAAATCAGTCAAAGGTCTGCACCTGGAAAAGACATTTTGGGATTGAAGGGAATGGTAATCTCCACGGGATGTGGAGAACCAGCTAAGTAAATACAAAATTGTTATTTTTTTCAAAGGCAGGAAATCATTTCCTAATCAGAAAACAAATTCTTTCACAGAACATTTTTTTAAATTATACAGTTTTACTTCTTTGAAACACTGTTTACATATATGTATCAAACCCTAAAGTATTTTTCTATAGCATACCTTGAAAACAAGAAATAGGCTGATCTGTGAATTTTCTAGACTATGGGAGAAAAACTCAAATTATAGGACATGTGGGGAAAAGGAAGAAAGACACGTGGAATTCATTTCCTAATCATTTTAAAAACCAGAGATTCTCAATTACAGTGTTGAAATGGATACAAGTCACATACATCAGAAAAGGTGAGATTATGTAGCAGGTTCCTAAGAACCGGTGATAAGTGACATTAAGTTTCAATAAAGACTAGATAAGACCCATGGACATGACCTCATTTCAAACCAACACTGGCAGTGATATTCTGCCTTTCTAGTTCAATTAACTGTCTGTTTTTGTGGCCAAAACTCTACAGGTTGAACACATAACGTTGTTGTTATGTGCCCCCTTGAGTTGCCTGTGATCCATAGCCACTCTAAGTATAGCAGCTCTGAAGCCTGCCCTGTCCTGAGCCAGTCTCACTGATTCTGACACATCTACCCCCATTGCCCCAGTTATTTTATCAATCCATCTTATCTGAAGTCTTCCTCTCCTGCACCATCCCTCCATGTTTCTGAGCATGATGTCTTTCTCCAAGGACTGGTCCCTCCTGGCCACAAGCACAAAGTGTGTGAGACAGAGCTTCAGAATCCTAGCCTCTAAGGAGAAACTTTATTTCTCCCTCTCCAAGACAGACTTGTTTGTTTTTCCTGGCTGTCCATGGTATGTTCAAGACTCTTCTCCAGCACCGCAATTGGAAGGCATCGATTCTTCTATCATTCTTAGTCATTGTCCAGCATATGCACTGCAAGTAATTATGAAGACCATGGCCTGAATTAGGCACACCTTAGTTTCTAGACTGACATCATTGCTTTTCAGTACTCTGGAAAGGTCCCTGACAATAGATTTTTCCCAGTGCAATTCATCTTTTGATTTCTTGAATGCTGTTATTAAGAGTTTTGATTGTCCAGGAAAATCATATTATAGCTCAGAAAGTTCTCTGGTGTCGCTGTCCATTCGCTGGCAACTAACAGCGACACCCCAATGGGGGTAAGCACTACAGAGACACACCACTCCAAGAGAGGAGCAGAGAGTCAATCCAGCTCAATTCTATTGGGATCTGCAGTGCATTTATATAAACAGGAAGACAGGGTAGGGTGGGCTTACAGACGTGAGACATGCGGATTGGATAGGAGAACCTCAGCCTCATGCAAACCACTCCCAGCTCAACAGACGTGGCAGCCATCTTCCCAGGTGGCGAGCTTTCTCAAGCTGGTACAGCCATAACACAGGGGAGCTTTCTCTATCCCGTATTAAAGGCTGTTGGGAGGCTTGCACTTATCTGGAGTTTAGGCCATCTGTCCTGGCCAGAGGCCCTCCCTTCCTCCTCAACTTTCCCCAACACTCTGGTATTGAGGAAGCTTTTGAGCAACAATCATGCGGAAAGAGTCTAATACCTTGGAGACTTCTGGCATTCATACCCCAGTGTGAAGTGGACATTTACATTGAATTTTTCATTTCCTGACTACTTCTATATCTGCTTCTATAAATGTATAAAAGCTAATTCTGGCTTCTTTTTTAAAAAGTAAACTATTTTGAGTGGCTAAATTATCATAAAGTTGAGGTAATTTTACTTGTATTGAAATGAAACTGTTCTGCAATTTTCTGAATATTCTAGGC